GCCCAAATCAAGCAATCTAGATCCAACCCGTGCTATGTCAATGGACGTAACGGATTTGGACCAGCCTCATTTATTCTCAATAAAGTGAGGTTTTCATAGCAGGCTGGTTTTCACCCAAAAGTAAAAAATGGATACTTTTTGTGAAGGTTAATTGGCGCAAAACGTCCCAACCTATGACGAGTTCTGTGGAAAACGTCCCTACCTTTCATTTTTTGGTGCAGAACGTCCCTACCTTTGCATTTTCTTGCCCAAAACATCATTTTCACCGATATTTAACATAAAATGACCATTATACCCCCTATATAAATAAAAGAAAAAAGAAAAAAAAATAAAGAATAAATTGCAATCTGCTCCAAAACTTTTTAAAAAGTGCAAATTAGTCCAAAACTTATGAAAATATTAAAAATAACAAAAACTCTCTCTTTCTTCTCCTCCATCGCCACCGCCGCCAAAACCCTAAACCATCCCATCCCTCACCTTTCTCTCTCAAAAAAGGGGCTGGAAAAAAGGGCAAAAAAATCGCCCCTTTAGGAATCATATTAAGTATGCTTTGGAGTTCAGAAAAGAGGCTAAGATGAAATACTATAATGGGGGATCGCTGGGGTTTGATCCGACCACCAAATACATAAGAGAAGAAGACTGGGTTTGCAATAGATACACTGGATTTGCCACGTCCTACAGTAAACCCCACATTTGAACCCTCAAGTCTTCCCCTTTCAAATCCAAATCCAGGCGCATCACGATGATAACCAGAACCACCAAAATTTGAAGTCGGTGATGATTTCTTCAGAACACAAAAAAAATCGAAGTAAAAGAAAATTCCACCCATCACTGTAATTACAATAATCGCCTTTGAAATTGAAAACCAAATCCGCCACAAGTCAACAAATTAGCAGACCGGCACATTCCCACAAAATCACAAACTTCTACTGCCACAATCGCCCACCAACATCTATAACTCCAAATTCGACAGCCACACCAGAACCCCCCGCTCTCTCAGTTTCGCCAATTTTTCTCTTTAATCAGCCTCGCCAGTTTTTTTTCTCTTGCTCGCGCGCCACCACCAACACCCAACAAGAAACCTCACTAGCAGTTGGCTCGCGCTCCAGTCTTCAAGTTACATAACCGACAGACCATTCCCTTCCGTAACGATCGATTGGCCTCAATTTTATTTAACCCTAGTTTGTATTTTTGGGGCTCAGTTTAATCGGCCTCAGTTTTTGAGTGGAGATGATAATTTCAATGAGTTTCATTGGCCCAGTTTTTGTTATTTTTAATAAGTTTTGGACTGGTTTGTATTTTTAAAAAAGTTGAGGAGCGTATTACAATTTATTCTTTTTTTTTTTCTTTTTATTTTTTGTTTTATTTATATAGGGGGTATAATGGTTATTTTATGTTAAAAATTGGTCAAAATGACGTTTTGCTCAAAAAATATGAAAGGTTGGGACGTTTTGCGCCAAAAAACGAAAAGTATTGACGTTTTGCACAAAATCGTGCAAAAGTAGGGACGTTTTACGCCAATTACCCTTAATAATGTAAGTTTCTTGTTTCATTATTTAAAATAAAATATAGAATTTATGTCACTTTTCTTTCTATCAAAATAACTCGAATATGACTCGTTCAAAATTATTTCTACTTAAGCCAAATTATGTTATTTAGCACCAGCTTCAAAATGAGTATAATATCGATATATATTTGAAATACTTAAATATACGACTCAAGTAGTTTACGATAAAATCTAAAAATTATACTTAAGTAAAACAAACCATTTACATAAATAAGTGGTACGAGTTTATCGTTCAACTTTTGGACTTTTAGTGTGACGATCAAACTAGACATGGACTATTCATGTGCTAAATGTCAANAACTTTTGGACTTTTAGTGTGACCCAAACTAGACATGGACTATTCATTTGCCAAATACCAAATCTTAAATTTAGCCCATAGGAAAATAAAATAAAAAAATCCGGGGTGTTACATTTTGTTTCCAATATGTTTTACTTATTTACTGTCCTATTAAATATCAATCTTGCTTAGTAAACGTATCTTAAAACTTACTCATTTACTAGAAGCACCTAAGCTAAAGTTTGAAAAAGAAAAAATGAGAGTAGTATACTATTTACTATTTAGGCGTATTTCGAGATTTTGGATGCTTGACAAGATTTGAAAACGGAAAAATTTACAGCTCAGGTATTATCTATTCCAAATTTAAAAATCAGGTCTCAAAATTTAAAATTGTAAAAATCAGGTTTTTCTTGATTTAATTAATTATATTTCAGAATTATTATATTCAATTAAACATTTAAGTGTAATATAATAAAATTAAC